AATTTGATATTTCACTCTCATATGCTGGTAAAATAAGATAAAGCAGCCACAAAATTTAGGAAGCATAAGCTTATGTTACCCTTTTCTCTAGATATCTTGGCTTAAGTTCAGACAAGAGTGATGAGAATTGAATAATGTAACTGCAAGACTTATTATTAACAGTTGGTCTTCTAAATCTGCTTTTCAAAGTCAGATTCTGAGGTCGTTTAAACTTCTCAAGGTCAAATCTATAATAGCTGGGAAAGGTCAAACAAAAACAAAGCAACCAGAGATGACAAACCTTGGAAACACACACACATCAACACATGACCAAAACAATACTTCACTCCCTTGGGATGAGGTTTAAACTTCATTGTTGATTTCAGGAGTTTGTAGTGACTTGTCTATCTAACACAATGAATACATCCACCTGTCATACCGGTAGATATTACATGGGGACTAACTGTAAGACTGGGAGTATCTGGATAAAAATGTGTTTCCCCTTCAAGCTTAAGGTAGATATTGATCCAGGTGTGAATCAATACTGACTGGGCTGTCCTAACATCTTTAAGGTGAGACAGATGAATAGATCTTCAGATCCACCAGGATATCAGTGATAACAAGGAGCAATCAGTATGAATCAGTGGACTTAAGATGGTCGACCATGGAGGCAGAAAGTCTTTATTCAGGTTCCTTGGTGGAGCACAGACCATTAAGAAACATACTGAAGATATACATGTATTAGTAGACATATCTACAATAAAGTCATTTTCCTAGCATTTACTACTAGTACAGTGAATGCCACAATGCAGTTGTGTTGTTCAGTCATTATCAACCCTACATCTGTACCAGAAGGGCTGGAATTTAATGCCAGAACACGTACTGTTCACCTGGGTTCAAGAGCCCTTAGGTCGGCATGTTAAGCCATGGTCAATGGTTAGCTGTACTGAACAGGTTTAACCTTTAGCACACTAAAATCAGCCATTTGGTTACTAAAAATTTCAGGTAAGCAAATGGCTGATTTAGTGGGATGCATTCTGACTGTCATCATCATCTGTCAGCTGTTAGGCAGATGACTGCAAGTTTGAAGTAGAAAGGTCAGAATAATTGAATCACTTCACTTCTGAAGGTCGACATATGTGCGACTGAAAATAGGAGGTGAGCAATGGTGTTGAACAAAAATATTATAACTTCATTGTGCGATGTACCAACACAGAGCTTTCATGCTACGACAGAGATCTTTTTCACAGACAGCTTGTACTATACTTAGTCTGTATACATAGTTTTACATATCTTAAATGTATGTTGGACTCCAGTCTTGCACAAGAACACCAGTCTCTTCCTACCCCAAGATCTGGACTTTCACCTAGGAATGTAACAGCTAAGCAAATACCAAAACCACCTGCCCAGTGGTATGTGTAACGGCACACCCTGACCCCCGAGGTCCGCATGTACAGACCAATGTTGATCAACTCTCCATTGTTAGGTACTACAGACGACATTGGTGTGAAGATAAACACAACGTTACTAAGCAATGGAACGTCCAAGCCACCTCACAATTGGATAATAATTATTCTACAATCTACAGCCCCAAAGCACACAGTCATAGCAATACAATTCATATCACTTCCTATGAAGTCAGTATTTTTGTGTCTCTTAGTCTTACTGTAATGTTGTGTCTTGATTGTCAGTTTTTATGCTACATCTATTTCTTTTACTTCTGGACTAGGAACTTTTGATTGAATCTAAAGATTAAAACCTCTTCCAGATTTGGAATTTTATGTCATACTGTATGTGTGTCTCTTCTTGTTTAAATACTGGAAAACTATAATTACAGTCAACCCTGTACAAGTGACAACCTCTACATACTACTTAGTAGTCCACCTGGCTATCGTGACCACCGTTTGACAAGCATTAAGAGTCCTGTCTACATGTGACCACCTGTTCACACAGACCAGATCAGTCCCCTGAGTGGTCTTCTTCCGCAGTTTGGAAGTGCACATAAATCTTGCAATGAGTTAGATCGCCCAACTAGTCAGTGAAGGCCACTTTTTGTCACAAAACCAGATTGAAATGCATGCAAACTAAGCAGCCCAAACAATAGAAAATATAACTTGATCAAGATTTCTGTGTACCTTAATGAACAGTCTTTCATGTGATCTGTTGTTGATAATCCCAAATTCTGATCAGAAAATAACGATTAGCTCACAAGCTGGCAATGTTGATAAAAGACAGACTGAAACAGTCATGAGTAAATCGTGAATAGATGGAATGTTTGTTGAATAGATGTTGTATTAGTTGAATAGATCTTGTATCATTTTGTTTAGATAGACGGAATATTTGTGGGATAGACAGTGTATTTGTTGAATAGACGGTTTGTTTGTTAAATGTCCAGAGTGATTCCCAGAATGTTCATGACAATAGCCAATGTTACTGATAAGTCTTGGCTTCCTGTAACAGCTGGGAAGTGAAGTGTACAACCACTTGTGTCAGACTGGCATGTTTCCTTTTCACTGATTGTTGGGCAACAAGGACACACCCACCTACATAGTGACTCACAACATGACATTGCACAGTAGTGCAGGGAGTACAAGCCACTTGACTCGGAAAAAATATGTGGAAAACATTTTCCTTGCGGCCATTTACTGTAGATAATCTAAAATAAGATTCCCTATCAGGAATCCATGACAAAAATCGATCTGCAAGATTAATGATCAACCCAAAAGTGGCTTTTGATGGGCGCCAATTAAAATCAACATACCCCCAACTGGGGTGAATCAATAACGGACTTTATCATTGAAATATCGGACTTGAAACTGAGACAAAATCGATCTACCTTCAACGAATTATGAAAGTTTAAAGACAAAGCTATGAATAATATCAACAGAGTCGGTATAACGTTCATACCAGTACTTATGGCGAGAGAGCGGAAATAACTCTTATTCTAAAGGACTTCCGTCTATATAACGTTACATCCGTGGCTTTGGCAATGAAGTAACTATTATTATGTAACGGTAGTATTAGTATTACGGCTGTAATTACTGTATCAAACGGTTTTAGAAAAACATCTCAACCCCCTATTACTCTAACCCGAGGCCCCCCGCCCTAAACGCCGTGCGTATGTAACGGTACACGCCACGGTACAATGGCTCTCACCTGCCGAACAACAACTTCAAAGAAAGCCACCTGTGCGGAGCGCCTCACCTTACTGAGAAAACAGCGGAACGCCCGCGCACTTCACGTCCAACTTCGGTACCGACATGTCCTGACAAGTCGCGGTAAACTTACCCCGACAGCGGAGATAAATCTGTATCGGGACGGGATCGATATATCACAGGTTCCCGATATTATGTGTCAGACTCGGACCGACAGCTTCAGCCTTCACATAACGGGACAAGGCGCCGCCTCCGCCGACTTAACTCACGAAACACTTGCGATGAGGAAATACGGTCCCACTTACGAGGTAAACCACATGATAAAGAACATGTATACTCTTACCTGAAGATGTGTTTGTGCCCTCCAGATGTCGTAAGGAGTTGGCACAGCAGTTTTAAGACGTCTGCCCCACACTGTGGTCAGGTTTAGCCGCACACTCAGGACACGGCAAAGTTTGGAGCGGAGACAGCTGATTGGTCAACGCGCGGCACGAACCCGGATGTGCGAACTTTGACCCACTTGGGAAACAAACCGCGAAAGACGTGACGCAGGCACTTCCGGGTTATGTACTGTCGACCTGGCGACGCGACGACGAGACGTTTGCCTTCAACCCTGTCTTCTTTTCTTCTGGCATTACACTGCTGCTCGAATCCTACGCTGAGACATGTTTGACTCAATCCTTGTGCTTGGCAAGAAAGCTTTGGTAACTTCACTAAATTGTGTCTTGTCTTGACGTGACGGCCTCTTCGAGCAGTTTTTAGTTGATAGTTAGCGTTTGTTTAGTCGTCTTAGACGCCTTACCCAGGAAACTATACAAACACACACACAAAATAAGAGTTCTACTTCCCGTTTTATCGGTACCTTTGAGTTTCCGTAGTTAAGTCTCGTTTACTAAATCTTGTTAATCTGAATTGCTGTTTTAAATTGATAATAATGAAAGAAAATAATTATTGTGATACTATCTAATACACACACCAAAAAGTCCCAAATTATATCTTTGCTCCAAATCCAATCAATGTAGACAACAGGAACACGCTTTCATGGCTAAATGTAATGTTATCAAAAGACTGCTGAACCCAAGGCAGGATCATGTCCTGCTGTGATTGTTGTTGACTCAGCCAGCTGGTCCAAACTCCATCCTGACACGTCACGCCAGACATGCCACAGGAACTGACAGTGATTCATTTGACTTTAAACGACGTGTGCATAACAGATAGAAACCCAAATTATATCATGTACGCACGACTGGTCACCCTATAGGCTTTAAATGTTGTTTATAGACCAGCATAGTACCTGCTTATATGGCATAGTTACCCGTAGTAGCTTGCTTTATATACGCACGATGCGTCAGCTGACATCGCGAAAGGGGGTATAGCTCAGTGGTAGAGCATTCGACTGCAGATCGAGAGGTCCCCGGTTCAAATCCGGGTGCCCCCTTCAAGCTTTTTTTTCTGTCTTCTTTTTTTTCCCCTTTTCTACGTTTATTGTTTTCTGTGTGTATACGCTACTTTTGGAATTAAGATTTTTTTCTCATAATCGTGATAAGATTTTATTTTTACTACACGATTCGAAGTATGCATTTGAAGAACAGCGAATATTGCAAGTGGTCCTACTCCTAGAGTGAGGTTGTTGTATAAACACCGTAAAAAGATATAGATAAATAGCAAGTAGATTAAATCGCATAAAAATCTCAGCTTTAGGGTCTTTGGGGCTGATTTCTCACTTCCGTAGCCTTGTTGCGTCACCCCTATTTCATCTAAGTAATAGAATAGTCTAAATGCCTTACTTGCAGCTGAAATATAATACGAAGTCTGATTGGCCAATTCTTCCACAGCACCAATGAGAAGCATCGACACGGACGCGTTTGCCCTCAACCAAGATGGCGAAAGTAGGTTGTGCGAGTGTATCATGTCATGTTTGTCATTTCTGCTCTTGAAATAAGAATATCTAGACCACCTTGTCAAGCAGAAGTGCTTCCAGACAGCTCACTGACTCGTTGGAGAGAAGTTTGGGTCTTGCGTATGGAGAGAATTCGGTAATATGGCGCTCGTGCAGAAGTGTCGTCTGCTAGGCCTGTGTAGCAGAAGACTGGCGCACATGGCATGCATGGCACGAACAACAACACACCGTCCCTCGCTCTCTGCAATTCTGTTTACCTCGGACTTTGTGCAACAGAACCATCGCATGGGTGTTTTTGCACGTTTTTCAAGTTCGCCCGGGGTGTGTGGCTTTGACAGCACGATCTTCGCGTTGTCCTCGGGACATGGAAAGTGCGGGGTGGCGGTGGTACGAGTGTCGGGACCCCGGGCATCCTCCGCCGTCCGCCGGCTGACCAGGCGTCCGGTCCTGCCTAAGGGGAGACGAGCGGCGCTGAGGAGACTGTACGATCCCGCAGGAGAACCGCTGGACAAGGGCCTGGTCATCTGGTTCCCAGGTAGATAACGGAGATCTTTATTGACACAACAAAAGTACAGCGAGATTCTTATTTGTATTGATCAACCTTAGAACTATAGAAAAGTTCAGGCGATTGTAGATTGGTTTCCGATCCAAGTGAATAATAAAAATAATATATGTTATGATAGTGTATTGCAAAACCATGCCCGAAGGCTAACAAACAAAGGAAAACACAAAAAAAGCAAAGGAAAACACGCTTAACACCATTATATAAGTGAACCAACTGGAACTTTAAAAATGACTCAGAGAACATAAAATTTGGATAAAAAGGAGAGAAAATTGTGTTAAAGTTTTACAGCTCCTGTTACACTGTATTTTCTTTCCGTTCCTTCAGGACCCTACAGTTTTACAGGAGAGGACAGCTGTGAGTTTCACGTCCACGGTGGCCCCTCTGTGGTCACCTCCCTCCTGTTGGCCCTGGGGGGCATGGACGGACTGAGACCTGCAGAGGCTGGGGAGTTCACCAAGAGGTTTGTTTGTCCACAGTAGCCCTTCTTTTGTTACTATCTTTCTCCTGGTGCAGGGAGAAAATGTATGGCAATGAATACAGGAAGAAAAAAAAACATACATGTTCGAGAAATCATTTTTGGAATGGTGTGTGTATTGGGGGCATCTTTTTGCAGTTACTGTTGCAGTTCATCCTTTGATTTGACCTCCACCAGGGCATTCCAGAATGGGAAGCTTGACTTAACGGAGGTCGAGGGTCTAGCAGACCTGATCCACGCCGAGACAGAGGCACAGCGGAAACAGGCACTGCGCCAAATGGAGGGAGACCTCAGCAGGCTGTACTCTGACTGGTCCAGGAGATTACTGAAGGTAGGTCAACCCCAGCAAACTGTTCTCTGATTGATCTATCAGTGGGCTGTACTGATTGGTCCAGGTGATTACAATATAACAGTTAACAACAGTTGAATGAGCAGTGAATCTTGTGTGCAGAGGTATGATGTGCGATTTTACCATTCCAGTGTGTTGCCAACGTTGAAGCGTACATCGACTTCAGTGAGGATGAGAACATTGAGCCTGGTGTGCTGGATGACGGTGAGGGAAAATTGTCATGGATTCTGCCAAAATTTTCTGCACATTTTTGCCAGAAATTGTAGTCAAGCTTGATTCTTGATTTCCAGCACTTTTTTGCCTGGATTCTACATCTTTACTCACAATGATGCCAGGCCACATTTGTTACATGTTTCAAGCTTTTATGAAAAAAAGCCACGGGACTGAAAACTTGGACCAAATGATATCATCTTTTTATAATAGTGGAGAGGGAGGTGTGTCGACTGAGGGAAGAGCTGGAGCGTCACCTTAGCGATGGTCGTCGTGGTGAGAGACTGAGGAGCGGGGTGCAGGTGGCCATTCTGGGCAGACCCAACGTGGGGAAGAGCAGCCTGCTCAATGCTGTGTGTAAGTTGGAGAGTGACTGCCTCTGTGACAGACCCATACACATTAAAATTGAGTTGTCAAAAACTAACACAGGAATAATGACAATGTAACATAATGAAGCTTCATGTCTTGTTTCAACTTACATGTAACGTTATTAGAAACAGTCAAAGTTCATTGGATTCACCATAATTTGAGAATGTGCCTTTCTAAAAGGGGCGCATGTGATAGCAGTGTACCATTTTGTGATGGGTATATCGTTTTGGGACAGAATTGTACCATTTTGTGATGGGGTACTAGTATATTGTTTTGGGACAGAATTGTACCATTTTGTGATGGTGGTGCTCTGTGACCTCCCCAGGTCAGAGACCTGCTGCCATCGTCACCCCCATTGCTGGCACCACCCGAGATGTGGTAGAGTCCGCCGTGAACCTGGGCGGGTACCCAGTGTTGCTAAGCGACACGGCAGGACTACGGGAAACAGAGGATGTTGTGGAGAAGGAGGGTGTGAGGAGAGCCAGGCAGAGGTAGGGCTTCCAATATGGCTGACAATCCATGCATTGTACACATTGGACAATATCTTTTAGAAAAGCTTTCTTAAATGTTTCCTGGAAATTCCACTGCACAATGTCTTATCATACCTGTGTCATGTTCATCTTCCTAGAGCCCAGCAGGCTGACATCTCAGTCCTGGTGTTGGATGCTACAGATGTCATGGCTACCGTATCCCGGCAACCAGGTCACTACCTGACCTTACAGCAGTACATACAGGACCACATCCCTGACCTTGGCCTACAGGGCACGACCTTTGACACGAAACAGGACCATGAGCCCTACGGACTCGTACCTTATCGTGGTGAACAAGTCAGACTTAGTCAATGAAGGAGGAAGTCTGAGAAGTCTGGTGGCGAGCTCGGAGCTCGCAACGGAAGGGGACAGATCGAGAAGCGGAGACGTGTGTGTGATGTCGTGTCTCACAGGGGAGGGCATGGATGGGTTCGTACAACTCCTGCAGCTCAAAGTCAATCTCATGTAAGTCACTGTAACATTGACGTGTGTAACATTCTTTTAGAAGTAGAATGTTTTAAATCTTCTGGGGGAAAAATGTTTTCTCTCAAGATTTGTATCAAAATTCGACATTAAGTTTTACTATAAAACCTGGACATGCTATTCAGTACATAAGTTTGACCCCCGTCAGCCAGTTGTGCTGCCTTGTCAAGACAAGGCAGCTTTTGATCTCATTGTTTAAAGAATTGTTCATAGGCTCAACTGGCACAAAGATCAGGATCTGACCACCTGTCTTACAGGTTTGGGAATCCCCTCGCAGGTAACCCCCATTTCACCTGACATGTCACCTGTCTTACAGGTGTGGGAACCCCCTCGCAGGTAACCCCAGTTTCACCCAGGCTCGTCACCGGTCCCACCTGACAGCCTGTGTACAGGCGCTGTGTTCCTATAGGGACACCAGCAGCCGGGACTTGGTCCTGGCAGCTGAGGAGCTACGGACAGGTCTGAGACACCTGGGGAAGATCACGGGGAGGATGGGCGCTGAGGAGATTCTAGATGTCATCTTCAGGGACTTCTGCATCGGGAAGTAATGACATAAGGGATACAAATGAAAGTTTGTGTTTGCAAGTATTCGACTAATGATCTAAATGGACCTCCTGCCCGACCACGGGTCAGATCGTCCAATGACTTAATCTCTATTTCGTATAGATAATGTACATGTGATAAACATGAAACCACACAGGATAGAAAAGAGACCATTTATTTATTCCACAGTCAGCCCATCTTAAATGTTGTCCCCTCTGGGCCATGCTGCTATCACGAATACAATAGTATATACAACTTTGCATAGAAAATATATACCTTAACCCCCGCTATACACATTCTATATTATTATAAAGCTGGCAGTGTGCATATGCAGCATTACCAAAGATCCACAAAATGTTACCAAGTCTGTGTCTACTTTTCACTCTGTAAGCAAAACTAGAAAGGCGTAATACATGAATACTGCTTTTTACCAGGGTATCATTACTGCTTATTTGCATTGAAGACAAAGTAACACCCATAATTCATCGTACCCATGTATACATTGACAACCATTCTACGTAACAGTTTATATCTGAGATATTATTGATAACTTTGAGTTTGTAATCTCTCAGGAAACATGTTTTTGTGTACATTAACTGATAGAAGGTTGAATTTACAGTCAACACTAATGACATTATGTGCAAGAGAATAAATACATTTGCACAGTGATGTGGTGGAAGGATACAGTCAAACCCTAACACCCATCAATAAAAATTTCTCCCAGTTTTTTTGGCATACATGTATAACAGGTGTAACAAGAGACTGCAGCTGTGATAATCATGGTGTACAAGTTATCCAATTTGTAAACCACATAATTCCCATTTCCACAGGTTTACACCTGTCATCACAGCTATGTATTGATACTAACATTTAAAAAAATTACTCAGAAACGTGGTACTCTACAATTCAATATACAAGGAAATAACTACCAATGGCAGAAATTGTGTATCTTTAAGTGATTAAAAATAGGTTACTCTTGACTTAAGCTTCAGTAAGGCTTACCCTGGGCAAATACCAGTATAGGTCATATTGCAACTGCATGAAGTATAAATGTTCACAGCACCAAGCCCACCACCGTCTTACATTAACATTACACTATATACAATACTCATCCTCAGGCTTTTAAAGCCTCACCATATACAACCTCTCAACAGGTCAAACCAACCAGTTTGTTATTTCCAGGTCCTGGCAAAACAAGGCTTTATGAGTGAACCTGGTGGCAAAAGATTTCAGGGATGCATACAACACTCAAATTATTCTGTGCACTTGTGATACATGTATAACCAGTCACAGGTCCAGGAAACAAGGAACTACATTGGTCTGGCCTGTCTACTGTGCTAATATTTTTCTGTCATGAATGAAACTGTAAGCAAAGAAAAAGCACACTGAAGAAAAAGTGTTACATCTGACAGGAAGTACTGCAAAAGCATAAAAATAAAATGTAAGAAATTTACAACAAAATGTTCCAACAAAATTGTAGCCCTTCAAGCTTTGTAGTAAAATATAATGAAGTAAGTCTTCCACCTCACAGTCAATGCAGAAGAGACTATTGATAGTAATATTATGCAATAGACATACAATATCAGGTGGTAGTACTGCTGACACTATCACTATTTCCTTGAATAACTGATTTCAACTTATTGTAACATACATGAGTTTCTGATACTAAGTAATTTCCATCCTTGCTACTTTCATTTTAGGTGTTCTCCATCTCACAATACAACTTTTTCTTAGTTCTTGAGGACTTTTCCATGAAGGTATTTAAAGAAATTCATCTCTCTAATGTACCGCAAAGAGGGCTCCCAAAGACTGCTCATACTTAAAAAGTTCCACCTGTAACCAATGCATTTTGGATATGGATGGACAACAAACCATTGAATGCAGTACATACAGTACCCAACATAATTTCACACCTTTTGACATGATTTGAAGAATGGAGAATAAAACTTTAAAGGCAAATCTCTAGCCACCTAGACCTGACGGTTACAAACTAAAGCTGTTCAGTACAATGTAGTATGTTTAACCCTTTACACTTTGTGGGTGCTTCTGTGCACCGAATCAGTAACCAGCAGTGTAAGGGTGAAGTTAAGGCAGCTGGGAATGAGAATGGCAGACACAAAACACTAACCTCTCACCGAGTCTACATTACAACCAAAACAGAAATCACCAAAACTTCTGAGGATGGCAGCTGTATAGCAGCACTGTGTGCAACAAACTTAAAAAAGAAAGAAAAATGGAAATCTAATGAAACCTAGGACTCCAAGTGTTAAATACAGTAACTTTCTGTTTACAGATACACATTGGAGCATTTTCTTTGAAAGCAAGTACATGTGCCCAAATGACATGGCCCAACTTGCAGCACATTAACCCTAAAAGTGTTGAGTAAGTCTGCATGTGTATTGGAAGCCAGATGAGTAGGGTTGATGGATCAATTGATCCTAACACTTTGAGGGTTAAGTGTATGTACCTGCAGTTGGTCCTCACAAAGATTTCACTACCAGGTATGTAAAACAATCTTAACCAGTTTGTAACTTATTGCGAATGCTGTTGCCATACTGTTGTTGATTGCTGTGGGTTGGTGTCCATGACAACAGGTTTCCATGATGATGAATCACATGGGTGCGGCCACCTGTGGAAGTCCTTCCTCCACCCCAGGCATGCCTGCATCTGCTGGCAGGGAAAACAATTAGAGAATCGTTGTAAGGAACTTTTGGAAGCCTGCGTGATAACCATGACACCTGTATCAAACATTATCACAGTCTAGGTATAACATAAAAGATAGTATATAAAACAATGGCCTACCATGCATCTGTACATCTCCTGTCTCCTGGTCCTCTGGCTCATCATCATCACCATCTTCATCTTCCTCGTCATTGTCATCCTCATCATCACCCTCACCTAAGTCATCACCCATCTCGTCACCTTCATCCCCCTCATCACCATCACCTGTCAATACACCATCACCATGGTTACCACCACCATCATCCCCATAATCATCATCTATCCCAGCATTCACTGCCCTATCTACAGCATCGTCATCGTCGCCAAGATAATCCTTGGCCAGCTCGTCATAGTCAGCATCATCACCCACTAGCCGTACCTGACCCCGCTCACCCTCATCATCCTTGTAATCATCCTCATCCTCTGATTCTTCCTCTTCATCATTATAATCTGCATCCCCATTTTCCTCATCTTTTCCTAAGCGGTAACCCTCATCATCCTCCACATCTGCTTCTACAGCTCTCCCGCCATTATCATAAAAAATACCGTCACCCCCTCCTCCCCGTTCCTTGTCCCCCTCCCCACCGTGGTTAGAAGAATAATCCCCCTCCCCTGCCGACAGGTTGGTGCCATCACCGTGCTCACCATCACCCCCCTGCATGTCCAGGTCTCTGTCAGCCTCGGCCAGGTGAGGCACAATCTGGTTGTCATGGTAATATTCCTGCACGCCTTCGTTCTCCTCCTTGATGATCTGCTGGTTCTGCTCCTCGGCAGCCTTCTCATCATCAGGAATCTCGTTGTTGCCGATGTGGTCGTCATCCGCACCTTCATCATCCTCATTGTACTCTACTGCATCACCATCCCCACGGTCACCTGTCCAGGAAAAAATCATGTTATCAGGCAGAGATACTAGTATATAGAATACTGCTGTGAATTCCGTATCACCCTAGATTCCAGCCCGACCCGCAGGAGCGCTGGGACCAAGGGTGATGCAAACGAAATACACTGTGTTGTATTTTATATATGTCGTACCTACCTGAGAAAACACTCATTTAAATGCAAAAAGTGCCAAAATGTTCCCCTCAAAATGCAGGAAATAATGTTTCATATCTAGTTAACATTTTAACATTTGCCCACAGATCCCCTAGGATTGTTGCACGACATTATGTCACATCAATGAAAATTGAGATGACATAAATTTAAAGCAGGCTAGAACATTGCATGCACCTAACTCCAAACAGTTCTTTTGTCCTGCTGGAGTCCTGAACAGTTTGTTTGTTTGTTTGTTTACCTTCCTGTAGCTCCTCTTCATTGTCCTCACCAGCGTGCCCCCCCTCCATGTGTTCCTCCTGTACCAGCTCGTCTTCTCCGTGTTCTCCTAGAACCCCCTCCTCCCCAGCATGACCCCCCTCCAGGTGCTCCCCCTGCTCCTGCGCTGGACCCCCCTCCTCTGCCCTCTCCCCAGCATCACCCCCCTCCTGGAACATGGTGTCCTTAGCCTCCTCCTGTGGGCAGGTGTGAACAGTAAGTAGAATTTCAGTTGGTCCCTTGACTCTTGCCTTGTCATGAACATTAACAAGATCTATTCTAATTAGTTGAGGTTTAAACATTTTCTCATTCTGAATACTGTAAACTACATTGATAACATCCTTTGTTCTGAAAAAGTCATTCCATTCTACAGAACTAGCATTCAGTAGGATACATGGCTACAATTCTTCACAGCAAGCAAACCTGAAGTGTTTCACAAATAGTGGTGTGTGAAGAGCCTGGGACAGTTCTATGATTTTTACCTCTACGATTTCATATGGAACATTCCTATGCTACAAGTACGAATACGGCAGGAGGGAGGAAAAGTCCACACGTGCAGTAAGAGGGGGGTTTTCACATGCAAGGAAACTGCAGTGTCTTGTAATAGTGTTAAGGACATTTGGCAAGCAAGAAATAAACAGCATGTACAGTGCCACTGCAAGGAAAAACGATAGTGTTACCAAAGAAGACTTTACTTTGTCTCAGTAATATTGTTACTCTACCACAACAGTCAACAGAGGCAAAATAGGGAAGAAAGAAGGGAGAACATGTAGATAGATTTAAGAGAAAAGAAGCACACATATATAGGCCCCAAAACATTTTGAAATCTGTTTCACTCAATTTTTCACAGCATCTTCATGAAACCAGTCCATGGTTTTCAAGGAATGGAGATTTTGAATTGAAAGAAGAGTTGTGTAGCTGTGTGGCAGCCTGAGATGTGAGGAGTTGTGTATAAACACAAGGCAGTATGAGAGGTTAGTATAAGCCACATCACGCCTGCACACGACTGGACCTGTGGTTCCTCCCCATCACCGTATACGTAATCCTCAGCACGATTTACGTCTCCATTATCATCATCATCATCATCATCTGCATCTGCATCTACAGCGTAATCATCCACCTGCTCATTCTCTCCTTCCTGCTGTCCTTCCTCCCCAGCCTCAGCGGCTTCACCTGCAGGAGACATGAGTTCTTATTCTGTAGGGTCACACTACAAGTTGTAGCTTAATCACAGTGTCAGAATGAAGACAGAGCAACAAACAAACAACAATAGGTCGCACTCATAAACAAAAGACGATGGTGTACAAAGACATACTAGTACACTGGTTTGGTTTGTTGATTGCAGATTAACCTTAGGGAAAGTTTTGTTAATCTACGGTAAGATTACTCTATAGGTTAGACGTGTCGCATACATCTTCACCATCTCAACAATCACCTAAGTACAGACATTCATATACATGTATATTTCAACATCCTTACTGCTTTGTCAGTTGGTCAGACTTGCAGTTAATCCTTTGTTTACCAAATAAATAGTTTTGTTGGCAGACAGAAGGTTAAAAGAGGTGACCTCACCTGGCCCCTTGTCCTGCAGCCAGACTACCTATAGATTTACCCTTCCCAGAATTCCCCTGCGCACCTTCATGTCCGTGGTCCATTTCCCCGGCTCCAGGCGGCTGGATGTTCCCCACCCCCTCCACGCCGCCCTCCTGGCCCTGTGCTGCTGCAGCTACACCCCCTAGCTGCTGCTGCTGGTCTGCCAGCTGCTGCTGCACCCCGTGTACAGCCTGGGGCCTGGTGTAACAACACAGGAAACATTTCTTATCTTGAAAGTGTGTTATCTGTGTTGGTAGAAGTCATTATAACATTTAAACTGTAATTACCAACACAAGAAATAGGTCTTCTTTTCAACTGTACAACTCCAGTCTTTGTCAAGGACTGAGAGATCCACTGCCTCTATTACGTCGTGTTATGTATATGACATGCAACTTGGTAACTAGTGGATCATAGGTTACAGAAAGTCTGTGGTACCCCCCGTCTCTCATTTCTTGACAAAGACTGGAGTCAGCACACCGTCAAAACATGTGTCACAAGGAAACACTAATACTGAGGAGCTTCTATTTTGCAAAACCTCTCCTTATAATTCTGTCTCATACCAGCTGTAACCTAGGACTTACTAAAAGACACCTCCAGTGGAACATGGTACACGGACTCTACTACATAACTGTAAGGGACTACACAATGCACGAAGACATTTTCCAGGTAGGACATACTTGTCGAACTGCCCTGTCACATTTTGCACGGAATACAATTCGCTGTGGTTCCAGGATTCCTGGGCCCATGTCAGGCCCGTGATGATTGGTTGTTCCTGTGCAGCTGAGTTGTTCCAATGCCCGCCTGACTGTGTCATGTTCGTTGTAGCTGACGTGTTTTCCTGCTCAGTGATGAGGAGTGCCGTCATGTTCCTGTGGAGACTTTCCCAAGCGGTCCTGTGAGTGGCATGTGGTACCAGACTGGTGATGCAGTTCAGCGACACAGTGAGGTTTGTCTGTTTGTTTGTTTGCAGAGATGATGCAGAGTCTGCACTGGTCTGTTGCGATGTTTGACAAAGCATCCTTTACAGATTGCAAATCCTTGAAAAGTTGGTGCTTTACTATACATGTATGATATAATTGATACCTAATAATTAGAACCTCCCTGAATAATGCCATTAGGTCAGTAAATCATAAGATATTGGTCAGGAGTTTCCTGGGTGTTCTGACCCTGACCTTAAAGCAAGAAAATTGGACTCACCGGATGTTAGCAGCCAGGTTCGGCAGCTGCTGGTTCATCTGAACAACCCCTTGGTGCAGCTGCGCCTCCTGTGGATCTTGGTTGGGAACTGCAGCTCCTGCAGCTTCAAAGCAATGCATGTACGTCATATATAATTGAGTAAATTGCATTAAATGTCCTTAAAAACAATGCCACAATCGTTAACAAGTAACAAGGAGCAATCTCATATATATTTCATATATAAACTGGACTAGAATTCAATTAAACGTAAACCATAGCACATGTATTCATAAAATTAAATCCTCTGACATACAAATTAGGATTTATAAAGTATACTGGGCAGATAATACCATTACATTTGGCCATTGAAGGCTGTAGTTTTAAAAATACCCTGAAACAAGGTAAAATGAGCTAGCAAATACCCTACCCTGGAACATTGCCTTACCTAGCTGCGGTGCCTGCTGCTGTGCTGCGGAGTACAGAGCCTGCAGCTGGCTGTACCTGTCTGCAACCTCGCGTAACTTCCCGTCACACTCCGCATTGGCAGCCTCCATCTGCTGCTTGCACTGCATGCTGGGAACAGATAACAGACAGGGTTGGTGGACCTTCCTGTCAATCTGCAGTAACTGTTACAAAATATGCCCCTCCCTTCCAGCTACTCTACTGGATTGCAAAAACCTACACACACACATGCACATCACACACATATGCACATGCGCACACACGCACACACACTCTCTCTCTCACTGAAAACAATACCTACGTATCTGGAACAAACAAAACAAACAAACGAAAATCCCCATACTGACCTGGTGAACTCCAGTTTTTCCTGTACTTTTCTGTCATTGTCCTGCTGTTGTTGTTGCATCTCTTCTGCCAATGCATTATGCTGCCCTTGTAACTCCTGGAAGCGGGCTGGAAAAACAAGCAAGTAAATAAGTAAACATGTAGCAGCGATTCGAAATTCTAATCACTGAGACCAAAGAGGTTATTGTACTTTTTTTAAAATTTAATATATACAATCATTGTACATGGAGAAGCATTTTACTAAACAGATGTGTTGACTTGACTGAGCTTACCTTGTAAACTCTCCAGCTCTTTTCTGGCTCCTGAAGCCTCAGCCTCAATGGTTCCCTGATAGAACAGGAGTCAAAATTTTCATGTCAACAAGGATAAATAAATAAATAAATGTAACAAGTGGAACACTTCTTGTCATGTACATATGACTTTTTCATTTACCAAATCTTAGTAGTTTTTAACAACACTTGAACGTCCTTGCTTGTACATTATACAGGTTATCCTTCGCTGGAGTAGTGGCATGACTTAGTCACTATTTTGACTAAGTTCTAAGAACTTCTAACTAAATGGTGACTAATACTATTTTGAAGAAAGCAACACAGTTCTTGGCCACTGCTGGTCATGTCACCCGCCTAGTGCCTGGGGCTGGTTTCATCATGAACCAGTGCTGCTTAGGTGCATATAAATATCAGAAATTATTACCTGCACAACTCCAGTTTTACCTGCACTAAGGCCACACCAATTTAATTTGTTGGTTCTCGGATTTTTTCAGAAAAAATATGAAGCGACAGGGCGAAAAAAAATAAAAATAAAAACAGGTCTAGGCATCCTATTATAGGCTTAAATGCTACAAAATGAGCCATGAATTCGACACAAAAGGCTGGGTTAAAATTTAAACATTGAATTTTGAACTTTTAATCAAACCACTGCAATGATAGATGGGAACACTGTAACAACTAGGAAGAAAAGGACTTTCCTCAACTGTTGGGGAGCAAAACATGAGCATTTTTCAGTTGATTCAGGACCAGAATCAAATTTTTTTTGCAAATCAGAAAAAAACGAAGAGGCGAATCCGAGAACCAACAAATTAACTTGGTGAGGCCTAACCTGCATGTACAGGTGGTATTTCAGCCTGTTTTTTTTTTTTTCTGATCATCAAACCAGATGCTTCAGAAGTTCATGACATGTAATGACCTGGTGACTTACCACCTTGAAAATTAATTCTGGATGGATGGATTTTTGTTTCCACGGGCAAAATCAATTGTGTTTGCTACAGGAGTTAGCCAGCCAGTGAACGCATATTGACTATGTTACTACCCTAGCTGTAACACAACCCATCTACCCACTACTGGGTTTAAACACAATAACTGTAACTTAAGGTGTGGCACCAAATTACTACAGTAAATCTTTCTTATTCTCCTCTCTTGAAGCCCTACTCCCCTGGACCATTCGGAATTTCCATTCTCACCTGAACAACAAGGCTTAAAGCGTACCTTTTTGATCTGTTGACCAATCAACAGGTATAGGACGAGAAAACATTTCGACTGGACAGTGATTACTGAATCTAATTACATTGATTTGATTTGACAAACAACATTTTTTACCTTTGAATAACAAAAGAATAGTTTCAGGTTGTGAGCTGGAGATGCTTAGATCAAGAACCATGGTGAGAGTTAACAAGGAATAAATCAAACTAGTCTGCTGATTATAAACAGTATTATATTGATGCCAGTCAAATGTATGAACTTTTGTCATGAAACAAAAAAATTGCTAAAAAGTGTCATATAACGTTATATATATATGTATGCAACATTCAAAAATTAAAGTGCTTTTTTTACTGAAAAATTAAAATTTTATTATTAAAATCATTTGATTTCCTTGTGGCAAGTAAAAATGCACAAGAATATGTCATTTAAATTTTGGGCAAGTGAAAGGTTGGTTTGGGCATGTAGAAATAACCAATTTTTGTCCAACTCGCAACTTTCCAAGAAGCCACGTCTGCATGTCATGTCAGACGGCTCTATTACCAGGTAATAGACCGCCGGAGGGGATCATGGGGATGGTTGTACTCACCTTGCAGTGTTTATCGCAGGCTTTAGGTCCGGTTGTGTGACGTGGCAGATAAAACGTACCTCTCTTTCCGCGTCACGTTCTGCCCGTAAACCACAAGAACGATGTTGATTTCATCGGATAACCAGAGACAGGAGTTATGAGTAATTTTCTCAGGCCGGTTGGGCGAGTTTCACGTCAGCTCTAGCCGCCCCCCTCCCACCCCTACGCAAACGTCATCAGACTAATCGTAACCTCACCTTCTCTTGCCTGACGCTGTCCAGTTGGTCCTCTGCTTCCTGCAGCTGCCCCCGTATTGCCCCCAGCTCCGTGTCTTTAGAAGAATATTTGGCCTTGCTATCCTCGAGTTGTCTGTCCGTCTCCCGGACCCTCTGTATCAGCGCTTCGTTCCGTTTTTCCAGGCTGGTTTTCTTCAGATTATAAAGCCTCAGTCTGTCCTCTAAGTCGTTGACCGAGTTCCTGAGCTCGCTGTTGGAGCTGGCTGAGTTCCAGTAGTTGTAGGCGAGGATACAGATCACCACGAGCAAGGAAACAACCAGGAACGGCGGCGAGCGGCCCGAGCGCAGGTAGCCTCGGCCATTGTGTGTGGACGCCATTTTGGAATATATCACAAGACACTGCTCATGCGCGAACACCTGCACACATATACGCACCAGTCACTGGGAACTACTAGGGGGATGGACGGAGCACCTATAGCCTGCTCCGTCCCCCAAACACACACCTGTCAGTGGAAACTTATGGACAGGGGCACCTGTAGGCCGTACACACACCTGTCAATGGAAACTTGTGGGGCGGGGGCACATGTTAACTGGCTCCTTAGCTATACACACACACACCTGTGAGTGGAAACTTGTGGGGCGGGGGCACAGGTGGAAACTTGTGGGATGGGGGCCTGTAGGCCGTACACACACCTGTCAGTGGAAACTTGTGGGGCGGCGGCACCTGTAGGCCGTACACACACCTGTCAGTGGAAAGTTATGGGCGGGCGCGCCTGTACATACTGTACGCCTGGAAATAAAGTTGGACATGTTGGGGGGCGGGGCACATGGACACTATCGCCCTTGGATGATTACGTCGCCGACGTCGTTTGATGTAGACATGACAAAAAAAACACACTGTGCACATTCTACCTGCATACGGTCATGATCAGGAAAGTCTAATAACAAAACACTTCAGTGCTGACGTAAGCGGTGGCTGCAAGTGGCACCAGCTCAATAACTCCGTTTATAGAACGGTCATGACATCATGATATTGTTATATTCCAAACACTTAGAAATTTAATAAACCCACCGACTAAGGAAGGCAGCAGGAAAACGCACCAAGCAGGAGTATGGTGTGAAATAGATTTCAGAGCATGCCATGGCTGACCAGGTGAAGTGACCAGAGTAGAAGTGTATTGTAACAGAGTAGTGTTTTAAGGTAGCTGACTCCCCTGTAAGGGAATATCCGAATGAACACTGCTGTCCGTGGCTGGAACAAGACCATCTCCGATTGAATGGTGAGGCGGGCAGTTATAAGCGCGATTCAAAAACACAACAGCAGTAGCAATTGTTTTGGTCCTGTGGATATATTTTTCTGAATCCCAGCTTGACATTAAGTTTGGTATGAGTTGGAAGCAGTTTATATAATCATACGGCAACAATATTCTAAAACCCCCTCCCCATCGGCCTCCAGATCCAGGTGAAGCATACTACATGTATTTCGCAAACAACCATTGGACAAACTTTAAAGCGGGAGCTCCTATAATAAGTTTTTTTTTTCGTTTCTGGATATACTTGTTCGTCATTTCATAAACCCCAGCAACTTTGTTTTCCATTTAGTTTAGTCAAAAAGTGACTTTGCTCTCTGGCAGTCATCCAGTGGGAACTCATACTTTATTAGGTTATCCTATTAATGTTTGTCTGGTTATTTTGTAGAAGAGGACATGACGAGTAACAATGGTACATCTAGGGAGGAATCATAAAAGAATATATATTATGTATGTGTTGAGTCCATTTAACGTGAGAATTGCGCGATTCGCGACTATGGCAGAGCCGGGTTAATGGAATGCCGAATGGTGAAGGTGACCTCATGGCCACTACGCTCCTTTGGCCAATGGTTACAGCCTTGCCACCTTATCTGAGGTCGTCTCTGACATCAAAAAGCTTATTTGTCATCTTTGTGTGTAACTGATGTTTGAGATATTTCTGGAACGTTTCACCTCTATCCTTACACTTCAGCTCTCCTTTTCTAGTTCAGTGAGTACCAGATTTTCTCTCTGTGGGTCTTTTATTACACGTTTCTGTGTAGCAGTAATTAAAATCCACACGTAATACATTATTGCATCAGCAAGGTAAACAAAGAACAGGAAATAAGTCATATTCAGTATACAAACCACTGGCGTGTTTTTCACCGCTATGATTGGCGATCAGTGGTTAAGTGCTGCTGCTAATACAGAAGCTCTGACGCACAAACTGCCTGCTTGTTTGCAGTAGATATTACATATAGGAGAGGAAATTGCAGGGTAACTGTAGTTAAACAGATGGTAGTGGAGACAAAAAGAGAGAGATCCGAAAACAAGGTAGGTGGCTGCGATTGCGAGTTTAAATTTGGAGTAAAAGAAAGTAAAATCGAGGGAATCGTTTTGAAAAGTTCGTGGGCAGCAAGGCTACATTTTGTGAACATATTTTTTTCACTATTCAGTGTCCATACCAAGGCACTTTATTTCCTACACCTGTTACATGAAATTTCTGAAAGTACATTTATATTCGAAGCACAGTGCAACAATTTGCCCCATGCATGCGCCATATGAAAGTTTTATTCACAAATTGCATACTTAGCGAATTGATTGATATAACAAAACTTTTTTACGTTGTTAAGCGTATAACCTAATACATTGTACAATGTCTTGTATTGCTAATTGATAAATTGTTTGCATTTTTGATACAATATCGTGTTTCTATATCTAGTCTAACCATAAAGGTTCAACAAACTTACATTTGTACAAACAGTGTTCAATATAATATTATTAACAGACACATGACTGACAATTATCATTCTCCGAAATTCCTAACTTAGCAATATTTTTCACTGGAAAGGCTGTGCTCTTCTAATTCTGTGATAGGATAGGATGATCTCCCTATTGTGAGAAATGGTTACATTGGACATACAAGCGTTCTATTTGAAATGTTTTCTTTAGGGGATCATAGGATTCCAAGACGTCTTTTTGACTCCCGCGTCGTTTGCAGAACTGCTGCGTCAGGTTCGTATCCAAATGGAAAACGACAGCTGCAGTAACAACACAAGCTCACCACAGGACGAACTTCTCTTCACCTTCAGCATCGTCTTCAAAATCCTCCTGTGCGCCATCGGGTTGCTAGGCAACGGACTCATCATGTACATTGTCATGAGATACCCCAAACTGCAGACCGCGCCCAACCTGTACATCCTGAACCTGTCCCTCGCACAGTTCCTGTACTACATCCGGGCGGTCCTGCAGGTTTCGTATATGGTGATCGGGACCTGGACCTTCGGCGTGGCGATGTGCAAAGTCTACCGTTTTGTGTGGGCGGTCAGTATTTTTGCGGGCTCGGCGTTCCTCGCCATCCTCAGCGTCGAGCGGCACCAGGCGGTGGTCAATCCCGTCCCGAGTTGGCTGGACCACTTGGCACACGAACGGAAGGTAGCGTTTCGGAACGCGTGTATCGTTTGGGGCGTCGTCGCGTTCCTGTGCATTCCCCATCTCGTCTTTGCCAACATAATGCCTATCTTATGCCTCCATGACTGCCACTACGACGCCGTCGGGTCTCTGGACGCTCACACTTTCAATACGATTCGAATCTTCTATTCCATTGGACTGGGCTTCGTTGTCCCGCTAATAATCATGGTCCCACACTACGTACTCCTCATCGTGAGGCTCCGGGAGGTTCAGACAGGAAACCAAGGCGGGAATGGGAACGCCTTAGGCCGCGTGTCCAGACTCGTCCTGGTCCTGGTCACGGTTTTTGTCGCGTTCAACCTGCCGGGGCACGTGGTGAACATCCTCACCAGCGTGTTCGACGGTAGCGGGAACTTGAGCACGTCGGCCGAGTGGTTCATCTACGCCTTACAAGACGTCTCGCCGTGTCTCAATCCCGTCCTCTGTGCCGTCGTGGCCGAGAACTTCCGTTCCGCGATCTCCAAGACAATGTGTACCTGGCCCTGCTGTCTGAAGAAGCTGCCAAGCCGTAAGTAGGTTGTCATACATCCTTTTCCTTCCTAAACGACGAATTTCCTACTCTCCAAGCAGAGCTTGTGGGGGAATGATCTTTACCTTTTTATTATATATGGCCGTTTTTTTTGTTTTTTTTGTTTTGTCCTGACCCCCACCGTCGGTGGCCGCGGACCTTCTCTGGCCAATGGATACTGCCTGGCCAATTTGAGTCTTTTTGCCACCGAGAGGGATCTGCTTGGAGATTACGAATTTCCAGCTTTTGCTATAATGGGCCTAGTATTT